TTTGTGGGCCATGTCCCCAGCCTGCCTGTCATAAATTGCATTGGGCTTTCAAAACAAACCCGTCCCCTCCCCGGCAGGGCAGGCTGCTCTCCAGGCATGGCCAGGAATACCTCATTCCCTTGGAGGCTCGTCCCTCCCCACCCCCCACCACCGCTAGCACTTGGGCCTGGGACTTTCATCCTGCTGGGAGACTGAGGACCGGAGGATGGCTAGGGTGACCTCTGTCTGGAGGGTAGAGGGGGCAGAATGTTGCCACGTGGGGGGCTTCGTGCAGCATTGGGGCCCTTCTCATAAGGCACTGCAAGTGGCCCGTCCAGTGTGCCCTCTGTCACAGGACCATGGCCTGGCCCCCCAGTGGTGCCCTGGAGCCTGGCCTGGAGGCGTGGGGAGGGTTGGGGCACTATAGCTTCAGCCCCAGCCTCCCACAGCAGGGGGGGGCCCCTCAAAATCACCTCTGACCTCCTCCGGCCACTCAAGGGTCAGACCCCAAGGGAGCTGGGATGCTCACTGGCAGTCCCTTCCTGTGGTGGTTCGGGCACAGCCACACCCACTGTGAGGTATGCACGGAGTGAGTGGCAGGTTCAGCCACTCGCCATGGGGTAGGGGACCCTGGCACAGGCACACCGTGACAGGGGCGGGCCAGCAGAGGGCAGTCAAGGTGTGTCCACAGCACAAACACACAGCAGGTTAACACCAGACACACTCCACCAGCCAATTCTGTGTCAAGGCCACAAACCCATCCCCCTGCCCTCCCCCAAACCCTGGTGCAGGCTGGGTTGCCCAATGCTGTGACCTTCCAGAAGCACATGGGTTTGAACCGCCCAGCTTGTGGCCCGTAGTTGAGCGCTTACCTGTTTGTGCCACTCGGGAATTTGCTGATTAATAATAGCTGACTTTTATAGGACACTGGGAGTGTTTTTTTTGCTTTTGTGTGTGTTTGGTGGGGGGGAGGCGATATGTTTTCCAGGATGTGGTGTTCAGGATAGGAAAATCTATGGAGACACTAAGAGATTCCTGGGTGATTGGGGGTGTGGGAGAGGAAATTGGAGGGAAACGGGGAGCTAGTGATGATGAGTAGAAGGAAGAAACTGTTCTCGAGCATTGTAGAGACGATCGTCGCGCTGGTGACGTGTATGGTATGTGAGCGATAGGTCAATGAACGCATTGAAGAAAGAGAAGCCCTGGTTGTGCAGTGGGTTAATTAAGCGTTGGGCCGCTAACTGCAAGGTCAACAGTTCAAAACCACCAGCTGCTCCGCGGGAGAAAAATGAAGTGTCCCAATTCCCATAAAGCGTTCCTGATGCAAGGGCTTATGGGGGAGGGGGAGCACACTGTAGAACTGATGATGATTACACCACTCATTTTATTTTATTATTTATCGTTTTTTTTTTTTTTAACACCACTCATTTTAAAAGTGATTTCACCGGGGGCTGGGGGTGGGTCGGGGGAGAGCATGTTCTAAAGTTGTGGTCATGATTGTTCAACTCTTCTTGTCACGATTTAACTATTGCATTGTGTGATATGTGAATTAAAAGCCAATACAACTGCCAAAGAAAGAACAAAGACAACTCATGGGGTCTAGAAAAGAAGCGAAGGGTTCCGGGCCCAGAGCCCCACAGGGGACAGTTGGGCTCCGTCCTGCAGGGTTGTCGGAGCTGGAGTCGACTTGCTGGCAGGGAGCTTGGTTTGCTTTCTGCAGCGTTCCTGCCGTCGTCTCATGGTGCTGCCTCGAGATGACACCCATCGCCCCGTGCTGCCCATCTGCAGTCGCGGGCACAGGCTCGGGCCACCTGAGCTCCAAGCCAGGTGTGGGTGCCCACAGAGCTGCGCTCTTCGCCGCCAGGCCCAGTGGAAGGCGGTCCTCACCCCATGGCACAAAGGCTCTGTGGGCGACAGGCAGCTGGCTGGGCGCCGGGGCAGGGCTCAGAGCCTGCAGGTGGCTCTTGGCCTGGACTGGAGAGATGAATTGCCTTTGTTCGGTGCGGGCTCCCAGCTGGACGTGGCCTTCTGAGAGCTGTGGCATCACTTGGCCCATCTGAGCCGAGGGCCACCGGCCGTGGCCTTCCGTGGGGGCCAGCTCTGCCCCATACTTTCCCTGCGTAGGCGTGAGACACAGGCCCTGCCCTCCGGAAGGCCCAGTCTGATGCGGAGGCAGGAAGCGCACCGCAGGCACACACAGACCTGGGCAGGAAGTGAAAAAACTCGGGGTTCCGTCAGAAAAAGGGAGCGGGGCAGCCCCAGAACAGAGCCCGTTGGAGGCAGATGAGTCAGGCGGGGCGGCTTTCCAAGAAATGAGCTGCAGAGGAAAGGCTGTCTGTGGAAGCTGGGGTGCGGGAAGGTCCTGGGGGCCAGGTTGGGAGTGTGTGTCTATACAGGTCACCCTAACTATTGCCACAGCCTGCGTGGCCAAGGGGGCAGGGGGCATCTGGAGCCATGCATGTGGATGGCTTCACACTCTGCCACTGTCTGAATGTCACCCAGCCTGGCGCACGGGCACAGGGAGGTTGGGTTTTGGCAATCACCCTCCTCAGGCCGAAGGCTGCTGCTGCTGCATCTCCAGCGGACACCCCATCGCTGCCTGACATAGAATGGTGCCTGCCGCGGGGCTGAGAACAGGAACCTCAAATGTGACTCCTCTGGCCTCACTGCTATGCCCCTCCCACCTGTCACCAAGACATCCGTCGGTCTCAGGCTTTGTCCACTGGGACCCCCCTTTCCAGATCATGCTGTATTTTAACACTGCTTAGCTCCAAGTGGGAGCCTTGGTGGCCTCGTGGTTAGGCATTGGGTGGCTAACCGAAAGTTCAGCAGTTCAAAACCACCAGTGGGAGAAAGATGAGGCTTTCTACTCCCCTACAGAGCGACAGTCTCGGAAGCCCTCAGGGGCCCGTTCTATCCTGCCCCCTAGGGTCCCTCTGAGTGGGCTGGGATGTAGGGCTCTGGCATCTCTGGGGCTGGTACCCCTCCCTCACCGCCACTCAGCCTTCAGCTTCTGCATCTCCCTCTGCCCTGGCTCAGGTATGAAGCGGCCACTGAGCCCATCTCCCCCCGGTGAGAAGGAGCCCCCCATTCCTGGAGCTGCTGCTGAGTGCCCCCCTCACCCGCTGGAAGCACCGAAGCCCAAGCGGGAAAGAAAGCGGTCTTCGTACACGCTCTGCAGCGTCTGTAACATCCAGCTGAACTCAGCAGCGCAGGCCCAGGTGCACTGTGGGGGACGGGCCCACCAGCGGCGGCTGCGGCAGCTCAGCCTGGGGAAGGCGCCCCCGGGGCCAGGTCAGTGTGGAAGGGCGCCTGTGGGCCCGTGGGGAGTCTCTCCTCTGGAGTCCTCTGTGGGGAGCGGGGGCTGGGGTCTCCTTTCTGTGGGGACATTGGGGTCTGG